TATCTGGTACTATTATAAAGGCATTTGTTTGACCATTAGAGGAAATGGTGATAATGGAATCGCGTTTTGGCAAATTGTAGAACGTACGTCAACCGATGATACGTGGGGTCACAAGGTTATTAAAGAAACAATAATTAATCGTTTCACGCATAAAATGTGTTCGGTGGTTGACGCTGTGGTCAACTTAAAATAATAACAAACTGGTGACTTTTGTTCAGGGGTGAAAAACACAGATATCTCATATAATACGCATATACCGTATGTATGTATGTGGTAAACTTTTTTTTTTTTGATCGCCCGTTTGCAAAAAGGGTTAGGGGTAAATATACACTTATACATGCATCGTTTATTACGAGTTTAAGGCAGTTCCAAAAATTTTTTTCAAGCGCTCATACCTGATTTACGTAAGCGGTCGGATTGGTCCGAACATGTATTTTGTTCGTATTAACGTTAGCGTTTACAGATTTAATAAAAAGAACCGAATATGGTACTTCTTGTTTGTCCGATTTGTTATTCTTGGTGTACAAGTTTGAAAAACAATGAGCAACGTGGTTTTTCATTATTGAGTCAAGTTAGCGAGGATCAATTGACGTTGTTCATTTCTTCTGTCACTCTCAAATTTCAAATTCTTCTCCGCAAGCTAGTAGCAAAAAGAAATGCTCCACCAAAAAGACCATATCAAGAGGTAGCATCAAAACTTGCGCTTTCATTCTACTTTATTATATGCATAAGCGTCACATAAACATTTCTGCACATAAAACATTACTACGGAAGATCAGTAGTCTAATTTAATTAGTTGTGTAGATACCCCCACAGATATCCCCCCGACTCTGTACTCGAATGAAATAAACAACACAACAGTGTACTTTTTCGATGGGTCTTTTCGGTTTCAATAAGGAATCATTAAACTTTGATTATATGGTGAGGTTATTTTACATTGTATTCACGTGTATGACAGACGCTTAACGCAGACTCAAAGGCATCCCCTCAGTTAATATAAACAAATGATCGCTACAATGATGAGATCACGAGATTTGGTAACTCAATTCCTTACTGTATCCATCGAAATTTAATGCGTCAGTAAACCTAATTATCGAGAAATTCCCTTAAACATATAAAAATTACGGTTTGTTTTGGTTTCCTGTACTTGTGCCAAGGCTTGACACGAGTTCATTCGGTGCAGCCACCTGATCGCCGTGGGCGTGATGCCACTCGAACGGGCTTGAAATCTGAAAGTTGAATTACGTAAACCGCTTTGACATTATGACAATTACGCATCAACAGCCATGAATAAGTAACACGACGTGTGTAATGGAGTCCGAAAAGTCTCTTTGACAAATAAAGTTTCGAATATAATCTAAAATCAGATTTTTTTAACATTCGCTTGCTCATTTATTGTCTATTGTTTTATATGAAAGATTTTACGAATCTCTATCTCCATCTCTATCCTTTTTATAGACACTTGCTGAACTGTCACACACGGTCTGAACGTTGAACATTGCAAAATTTCAGAAAATCTTTTTCATCCAAAACCTCACCGTACTCCTCAGATTTCAGATTCTCTGTCATGCTAAGAAATTCGTGGAGATTCATGGCCGATTCTGGAAAAAGGAAAAAAAAAAAAGAAAATTCGAATAATGTAACGAAGTGAAAGAAAAAATGGTGAATGATGAGGTTCCAGAAGACGATACCGGGAGAAGAAATTGGCGAATAGTTTGGCGGATCTGAAATCCATGTGCCATCGGGTTTTTTCTGATTTGAAAACCACCAAAAACACTTTATAAATAGGAGCACGTTAAATTACTATGGCAGACGAAGAGACCGACCATGTGACTTCGATCCGAGGCAAACACCTTGAGAAACACTTCTGATGGAACAACTCTATACTTGCTAAAGGAAAAAAAATTTTGATTTACTCAATCATTCTGGCTTCTTGTGGTAATTCGACGACCGGTTCTTTGAATACCGTTGATATTGAGGAACTGCTACGGGAATCAAAGCTTCATAGGCGTAAGTTTCGATATCACATGGGAACGGGAGAGTGGTGTCAAGGTCATACACCCACATCCTAACGATTAAAATACCAAAGGAATCGACTTGAGTTACGGTTCGTGAAAAATCATATGCCAAAAATTTGCAAAGAGATTACTTTTTGGCATTTGTGATGGGATCGTTTTCCTTCAGCAGAAGAATAACGTGATAATCCTGAATTGTTGGAATAAAAATTT